GTTTAGAAAAAGCATGACTGAAGAGGCAAGTATGAATGTATGTCAAACACATTATCTCCCAGCTGAAAAACAAACAGTGGCTAGGCAGAATTTAATCCGAACTTTGTGCTCATCAAAATATTTTTTGCTACTCATTTTTTTTTCACTATAAGAGCAATGCCTCCAGTTAGCACAAAGAAATATAAAAGTCTTCCAATTAGCTAGTTAAAATGATATGAAGAGGAATTACTAACATGCCTTAAAAATGCTTATTTAATGCTTAGCTAGAATAAAGCAGAAAGCTTAGAATATTTTAGGTTTAGAATTTGTAGACATTTTTTCCTCACAAGCWGTGCCTTCTGCTGTRTGCTCCAGAGCTTAGAGCTACTTWCACCTTTATGAACAATTGATTTGGTTATTTGTCAGATTTTCCAATAGAAAATGAGGAGCATCCCTTGTAATTTCATGGATATTTCTAATAACAACCTGAGCTTTATTACATTAAAAACCCCTCTCAACTCAGTCATTAAAATTTAATAAATTCTAAATACCAGCCTCTCCAAAGGACAACAATTAATCCCTATTTTGTTAGACAATGCCTTTCAGCGGGGGCATGGAGGGAGATTCTTTGGTTTTATTGCTTCTTGGTTGCTTGATTGCCTTTTAAAATATATTTGTCCATTTATTTATTTTATTATCAAGGAGCCTGGCTAAGGTGCAGTAAGATTCCATGTTCCCTGGAACTGGAGGAGGAACCTGCCTTGTTTTAATGAAACCTTTTCATTATGTTTCATTTACACTGTGATGCACTGACAGAATCAATCCTTCCTTGTGTTTCACAGAGTATTTTCATTTTAAAGAGAGTAGCTTCTTTTTTGGAGAAAGYGGAAGGGAAGCTTCTGTAGGTGACAGAACAATACTTTCAAGGCTACAAAAGGAGTAGATTCTTATTAGTTGCAAGTTCCTGTCTACAAACTAAGATTTTATGACTCTTCAGGAGTATAATCTCTTCTTTTTTTTGAAAATGACACACATTGATAGAGCTTTAGTGAGACAAAGATTGTGCCCACATGCGCCTGTCATCCTTTGGGACTTAATTACAGCTCGAGGGATGGCACAGGTGTCAAGGAGGCTTCTTGTTCTTTTGATCAGTGTGGTTGTAATGTGCCTTTGGTTTTGTTTTTGGTTGGCTGTTTTTTGGTTTTGTTTTTGTTTTTTTTTWAAATCTGAATAATATTGTCTACCCTATAGATCCGTCTGCATGAACAGAAGAAATCATCAGAAACAATAAACTCTTACAAAGCTCACAAAGATATTGTCCAAATATTTCCTTATTCTGAGTTCCTCATATGATAATTCAGAATTATGTACAGCTGTTACTATTCTCTAAATGTATCAAATTACACATTTTCCAGGACTGGTGGATAACAAAATAGTTTCAGTTTCTTCCATACAAATGTATGTGTATAGTTTGACACATATGTGTTTTAAGAGCCTTCTTCTGAGGGTTTAGCTTTATCAAATCACTGCCTAAGATATCTGCAACCTGTAATKCATAGTGCAAAATTACACATGTCAAAATCTGTGTCAGCAAACTGTTTCCCTACTATGACAGCACAGTCACAGAYGTAGAAAAATTGATTGAAATGGCTGAATTATTTTAATGTCACAACTCCAGCTACCAGAAAAATTAGAATTTTCTAACTGTCCTCAAATATTTAAATACATTTACAAACACAGTTATGGGTTTATTGATCAAAAGGCAACAAAGAAAGCAAAGGGCAGAATACGTACAATCAACAGTCTCTTTTCCTAATTTACACCTTTCTATGATGAGACTGCATAAAAAGATGGCATAGTGGCACTGCCATTGTGACTGTAACCACAATGGTTATAATCCTGCACTTAGCAATTCCTGGTTTAAGAGTTATTATGAGGAATCACTGAAACTTTATCTCTCTGAATTTGAATCTTTGTTTCTCTACCCTTAACTCCTTAGAGGCTAAAACAGTTGCCAGCTCCCATACTTAAAACCTGAGCTATTCTTCCAAGATTGCCAAACACCTTCAAGATTGCTAAAGAACACCTTCAACCCATCTGTAACCTGACAGCTACAGTTTCTACTTATTACTGGGAAACCTGGTTATATCTCCTGGTTTCACTGAAAAATGACACAGCTATGGAAGCCCTTGATCCTTTTCCACAGTTACACTTTACTTAGATTTTAATGCAGATGGAGCACATCATTATATACACTCTTAGACTTGCAAATGAACCAAGAAAACAAATTTAAAATATTTCCTTTTGTGTGTGTATCTGGGTAGGGAAGATATGTAATCTAATGCCAGCTATCCAATTTTGGCGCTTCAAGAGCAGGACACTACAGATGACTTCTGACCCCTTTTTGGTCCACATGCTTCTAATTCAGTTCAAATCTCTGATTCAATTTTGTGTGCAACAAACCACTCCAACAGCACAAAGAAGGTGGAAAGGGGATAAMAAATMACCAGGACTAAATTTTTTTMTTTCTATTTTTATCATTCTCAGCTTTTTAATGCTKGCTTAAAGTAATAAATCTTCAACCTACAGTAGATTTTGTGGACTTTGACTGAAAATGCAATAACATTTTACATCAAGACAGTTCACAAGTTGCAGGGAAGAAATTCATGCTATTTCACCCTGCAGTTCGCCTGACCCTAAATACTGCTACTGATTCATTTTAAGAAGTATTAAATGCACATAAGGTTATAAATTTACAGTCATTTAAAACACCTAAGAAAAAGAGAGTTAGAAACAGATTTATTCAAATGAATCCATCTACTATTTAACTATGGAAAAGTTCCCCAAATCCAAACTTTCATAAAGCTTCAAGAAGTCACAAATACTCTCAAATCTCCCTGTATTAGGGAGATGGAATCAAGATACAGCGGCCTGCAAAACTCCCAAAACAGCAATACCAAGAAATAGTGATGCATACAACAAAAAGAAAAGAAGCCACATTAACATACCCACAAACTGTACATCTGAAAACTTTCTTCTTTTCTCTGAGAATAACCATGAGATAAATTATTTCTGTTTGCACGTTGTATTGATGAAGGCAGGTATTTTCCAGCTGAAGTAAAGTGAGTGGGTGACCAAGCACACTTGCTGCTAACATAGGATGTCTKTCCTCATTTGTTGAGCCCTGTTTTATCAGTGCTACAATTTTTGGCTGCCTTATTTCTGMTCTTTATTCTTATTGATAAGTAAGATGGTTGGATAAGAAATGAGATGCACAGGTATGTGTTAGTGCAAGAGAAATATTAATGGAGTTAAACAGAGAATGTAGGTGAAAGTGGCACTGATAACCTGTCTCAGATTCTGTATTCTGTCAGCCTGCAACACTGGGTGCTACTCTTTGTCGAGATATTTTTCCCTTTGACTTTAAGGTAACAGATTGTACCAGGAAAATACAGCATATAATCACAAATGCTCTAAATATTTTCTACTTTATAGCAGAAAAGTTACTTGGATGTGTCCTGCACTGCTTTAAATCCCATCTGCCTCAGAGAGCCTGAGAAACACTCACCTTCAAGGCTGCTGTAGGCTTGCTCTCAGCAGAGTCTGTGCATCACCCAGCTGACTCTAATTGGAACGAGTTGTCCCTGAATTTATAAAAACTGAATGCAGCTGAGAAGATGATCCCCAGATTTATCATCATAGAGAAAAGCATAAAGCAACACATTGTGGGGATCCATCAAGTTCTGTGACAAAACGGTAGAGGGGARTACAATCATCTTCAAACCCTATTTTTACATGAAGTTTTWCTCCTTTTTAGATCAAACATTCCTCCCCAAGGGAAATGTGTTGTACAAACTAATCASCAAGCTCTCAGAACAGATGTGTACTCTCAGCTGCTGTTTTCAGCAGCAGGAAGTTTGGAGACATTTCAAGAGACAAACAAATGAGGTATCCTGGTTATTTTCCTCTCCAGAAGCACACTCGTATATAYGGACTGCTTTCTGCTGCAATGGTTTAATAGAGTGTTGCTGTGGAAACACTGGCACCAAAGCACACCTAATAAGAAGCTATGGAGAWAAATCAGACCATATATCAAATTCATTGGGTTTTTGAACTGAAAAGCATTTTGGTGCACTCTCTCTTGGCATTATATTTGTCCCGTCTTGATGGCATCCTAGTGGTAATTCATGTTATTTCAATATTCCTTCTTTCTGTGTRTTATGAGAAACACAAAACAAAGACAAATACCTGAACTGTTAAACACCAGGTTGAAAGTTTGGCTATAACTGTCTGAACATTCCTGTGGTAAAGTCAGGAAAAGAGATGTGGTAAAACATTTTCATTATTAAAATCAATATATATATATATATATATATATATTTTTTTTTTTTTTCCATATAATATCAGTGAAAGTACGTCAATGATTCTGTACTGAAGCCTTTCAGGGGTGATTTATCTGCAATTTCCTCTTGTTTTGTTTTTGTTTTGGGTTTTTGTTTGTTTTGGTTTGGCTTTTTTTTTCCAAATGAAAGTACTTATTTAAGTGGAAAAACATTTTAATTGCAGTGTATGAGAAACAACTGTTTTTCAGTGTGTGTGAAGACATTCTTAAGGACAAAGTGATAACCAATGATGTATGAAATGAATGCTCATTAGGCTGGCACATGAGCGTTGAGAAAAAGTATGTTTAAAAACCTTGATTATGGACACATAACTTATATAACAATGAACTATTTTTAGACATAAACAAAAATTWAAAAAAAATMAAASAAGAATTTTCTTTAATGGATGATGYTTGTTACGCAAAATGAGAAGCAGAGTTGTTCATTGTTTATGATCTRAACCAATTGATAAACAATTGGTGTAGGTAATATATGAATTATAAAATAAACAGAATCTGCAGTTTTTTWAACAWAATCTTCATATAATTTCTTTATTGYGACAAAATTAAAATAAATAGRTAAAGTATAARGAACATCTTAAAGATTACAATAACTGCAGAGATGTTTAAAGATACTTACATCACTTTCRTGGCCTTCTCTTAGATTATAAGTGAGATCGTGCTGGATGTCTTCAACAAACTTGTGAGCGTACTCTGGGTAAAGGTCGAGCACTTCAAAGAGACCTTTGAGTATAATACATTGGAGGTCACAGTATGTTAGAGCTTTAACATCTGCRTTTGTTTTAATAACTTGATCCCTAATGGATAGGTTTGCTCCAATTAAATCTCCTTTACCTAAAAGAGAATATAAAAATTAATTACCTTCAAAGCATAAATTCTTGGCTTCTTTTTTAAATCATAAAGCTGTTTAACATAATTGCTACACCTGAACCTGAAATCCCATTGTTACTAGTGTATTGTTTAATTAATAACATTCTAAAGGATAGTACACTAACTTTTTTTTCCTTTTGTTTTGCAGGTGCAACTTTATAGGGAATTAATTTGAGGTACAAAAACTAATTTCCAGACTTGTAACTGGCTGATTTAAGGGAACAATAAAGTAAATATATCTAAAATGAAGATTTATACTAATAACTAACAGCAGGTGCAATTACTTTTCAAAAGAAAGCTGTTGTGGGGAGTTTTTGTGTGTGTTTGTTAAAACACACAGGTGTTAAGATAGCATTTTAACAATGGCACAAGTAAGTGTAAATGACCTTTTAAATTATCCTTTTACTTATAATTTGAATTGCAAAACAGTCAGCGTCTATGTTAACTGTGGTTGCATAAGTATATCTCATGTATCTTACTTGTACAGGCTACAGATAGAAAAGAAAGAATTCTTAAGCCATTGTAATTTCATTTATGGGCAGGACCGCCTTAGAACTCTGGTTGTATTAAAAACTGCAGCTGACCATATACTGAAGAGTACAAAAATGTTATAATTAAAATTTCCATAAACATCTGATCTGAGGTATAAATTCCAAAATGCAGTCAGCAAAGCAGAGTTAACTAAAAGTAAAAACAGATGGTCTTTGTTAAAGACCAGGGCAGTGTGGAGGAGTGCATTCTTAGCAAGTCATGGGCAGTACCAAACTGGGGGAATTGGTTGATGTGCAGAAGGGCAAAGCTGCCATTTTGGGGAATCTTGATAAAAGACAAAATAGATGATTGAAGTTGAACAAAATAGCTGAAGTTGAACAAAACCAAAGGCCAAGTCCTGTACCTGGAATGAAAACCCTCTCTACATCAGTGTGAGCTGGGAKCTGACCAGCTGGACAGCAGCTCTGCAGGAAAGGACCTGGGGGTCCTTGCARACAAGTTGAACATGAGCCAACTATGTATCCTTGCAGCAAAGAAGTTCAAGGACCTCCTGTGCACCATTAGCAAGAATAGAAGCAATAAGTCCCAAAAAGTGACTCTCCCTCTGTGCTCTTCCCCTCACACCTCCTCTGGARCACTGTGTCCAGTTTTGGGCTTTCCAGTACAAACAGAATATTGACATATTAGAGTGAGTCCAAAAGAGGCTACTAAGAATCGGGGACTAAAGGACATAATCTGTGAGGAAAGGCTGATAAAGGGGGTGTTGTTCCATTTCACAAAGAGAAGGCAAGGAAGGATTGTTATTTTCTACAACAGCCTAACAGAAAACTGTACAGAAAACAGAGCTGAAGTTCTCACAGAACTTCACACAGGGCAGCAAGGTGTACTGGGCACAGRGTGTAACAAAAGAAATTCTCACTATAAATCAGCAAATGAAAGTCATCAAACGGTGGAACAGCCTGCCCAAGTAGCCTGTGGAAATCCAAGCATCCTTGGAGATATTGAAAACATGCCTGGACTCAGCCCTGAGGAATCTGAGCTAAGTTTGTCCTGTTTTAAGTGGGCTTAAGATGGATAGCTTCTGATGGTCTTCAATCTTACATTATTCTGGGATCAAAAAACAGTAAGTTAAGACTGTCACGTCTGGAAATCCACCCAGCATGTGATTCCAACTATATCATACACAGGAAATGGCCAGCTTGCAGGGTAAGTTAAACTAAGCAGTCAAACATCYCTGAAACTTCTTGAATGGGATAATTTTACACTTTGAAATATCACTTTTTTTAGCACCTTGAAATAAAATTACTCCTATTTACACAGAGCTTGAACAACTGTCTCAAAAATACTTATCATAATCTCAGCTTTGGGAGGGATTTTTTCTTATGCTACTTTGGGGTCTTTTAAAGATCTCATTTAGTAAAAATGAGAATTGCCATGAGCTTAGGTCAATCTGGGAAAGAGAAATTTGATGGGTAACAATAGCGTCTGTCATTTTTCATCACATTATAATGTGATACATAATAACTACATAATAAAATACAGCATAGAGCTAAGCAGTAATACATATTTATATTTTACTGTAAATATCAAGAGTTCCTTAGATTTCTTTGGTTATATTAGGCAATGGGTTGGTAATGCTAATCTGTTGCTGTTAATGTGGACAAGGGATAGAATATTTATAGGACATATGCCAAAACTTATCTTTAAACATCTTAATTAAAAACTTTTTAAACATATGAACAGTATTAGTATCAATATTGAATGAACATTTTGGAAAAAAAAATTGATTATAATTATAGTGTTGAAAAACTGTCAGGCTTACAGACACTACAGTTGATGTGGTAGTGTTAATATATGTTTCATTTTTCAAATGAAAATCATGTAACAAAGGCTGTAGTATCCTGAAGTTTCATGTAGAATTAATGAAGTGATAAAATGATTGTACCTTGAATGTAAACATTTGTTACATAACAGAATCATTTCAGCTATTCTTAGTAGCTCTTTTCTTCCTTTTGTTCTTTAATTGGTGAACAGGCTTAATATAAATGTTTTTTACAGACATGTCTGTTTTTTAATAAATCAGAGACATGCAGTCAAAGTTATAAATGTTGTCAGTAGAGATATTTTTAAAATAACTTATGGCTAATATTTAAAAAAAATCAAAGATACATGCTCAAAAATAATTAATATTAAAACACATTTTCCTATAAAATATACCTTAACCACCGTTATTAAAGCAATAGTCTCTAGGGGAACCAAATATGTATTTAATGAGAGCATTCCACTGAATTGTTGCTGCACTGCTTGTTAGTGAGAATGGCTCAGTAAACAAAAACGAATCCACTGGAATTAGAATCAGGACAGAATTATAAAGTATTCTGGGAACTGCAAGTAACTCAACAATGTCAGGAAAAAAAGCCTGCTCTCCTGGATTTACATGACATCAGTAACACAGTTTCTCAAAGGGACCTACATGTTTGATGCATTCACCTTCTGCTGGTGTTAATTAGGTTTAAATGATGAAGCTCTCATTTATGGTAACAAAACATTATTTCATTGTGTTATGTTTATGTTTTCTGCATTATGATTTCATTAACTTCTCTCAGAAATCCACCAATCTCTTTCTTACTGTTTTGATTATCACAGTGACACAATGATGCTTTAATTAACATTTTCAAAAGTGYCTGAAGATTGAATCATTAATGAAATAATAGTCCCCATGGAAGTATCTCTTGACCTTTTGGTGGCTTTTATCTTATGATGTATTCTAAGCCATATTTTATACCTTTGATCTATGTGATCCAATGAAATCAAGAGATTCTAAACTTTTTAGTAACAGATGGGTGATGGAGTAATGTGGACTGTCAGTCTAATAAAATCAAAGACTTCTGAAAAAAAATAGGACCTGTATCATATTTATATTCTAAAAAAAAGACCAATCAAATGCATTCTAGTAAAATAAAGGAAATTCGATTACAGAAGACCAGAAGCTTCCATTATCAACAGTCTGGTGTAATCCCACAAAACAGGAAGGAAAACAAAAAAGGAAATGTTCYTTTAAACTCTGTTTTATAAGAATATTAAAAGTTATTAGAAAGAAGAAATATTTATGTTTAAAGAGATATTGAAATAATAACAAAATAATTCTCTAATTTCAGAGCAAAATGTTATATTTTAATTGACAAAAAACTTTATAAACATTAACTCAGACAAGTCTAATCATCCTTTAGGTGAAGRCAAAGAGAATTTCTTTAGTACACCTTTGATTGAGGCAAATCACAGAAATTTATAGGTAGAGATGCTTAAAYCTCAATGACTAAAAACAATCTTGCAAGCAASAACTAAACAAAATRTRTTARAACTGAACTTCTGGCCTTTCTCAGKTCTAATATACTCAGATGACTGYAGACAKCATCAGTTAGCATRRAGWAGTAGCTTAGGGGAGCAGAGCCAATAATGTTTGTTTTTCACCACATGGCTTTTCTGCAAGGGGCAAGTGCCAAAAAATGACAGTGGGCTGATATTGCTTCCTTTTATTTGGGATCATTGGTGGGAGCATTGCCTGGCCACTAATTTCCATGAAAGGCTTAGGAACTGATGACCAGTGTTCCTTGAGCTGTCAATACTGTCACCAAACATAGTAGAAAGCAGGAATTTGTGTCAGAAACTAGCAARTACCTCTTGACATGAAAAGAAGCGAGAATAAATATAAGAAAATAAGAAGTCAAATAATGCACAGMTAACAATCTAGCAGTTGAAATCTCCTTAGGTCAAAATGTAAGGAAGTTTAAATTTWAAAAAKGAAATAAAATARGGGTGWACATARAATAARTATAGCAGATTAAATAAAATTAATTAAATTTTAAATTTTAAAATTTTAAATTTTAAAATTAAATAAATTCATTCTCATCACACTGTGGGGACACATTAAGCCATGAGTTTGTAGTGGGGGTTCTCCTGTTCTGGGATAACATTCTTCCTCTTGGAATGCACAATTATGAACGTACCAAGGATTGCCAGCACGGTGCTGTCCTTCAGCACTTCCATGGAACCTGAGCACACAAAGTAGATCGCTTGCAGGGCATCTCCCTGCCGAAGGAGGTATTCCCCAGGAGCACAGAARGAGGTTTTGATGTGCAGAGACAGCGACCTGAGGCAACCACGACTGGCACACTCAAAAAGGGAGAGCTGCAAAATCTCCTTGTTCAARTGCATGGTGATGTCTGAGCGCAGCTCGTCTGGGAAGTCTTTTAAGAGCTGTCCAAAAGGAAGAAAAAAAAATTATGAAAATTTGTAAAATTGTTTGTTCCTGCTTTTGCAGAAATGGCCTGGTTTAATAGTGCTGCATGTGTCATACTGATGAAAAGACTTTCCTTTGATTTTTCTTATCCTTTTGATGAGATGTGTGACATGTTTAATAAATTTTAACACTGATAAATTCCAGGAAAAACATGAATTAATATACGTCTCTATATTTCCATAAAAACCCCAAAAAAGTCTCACAAAAAAAAAAATCAGGAAAAAAAGGTCAACAACACTGTGTGTAGGAATTCCTTCTAGTACAATATTTAGTCTTGCCCAAGTTCTTCTCAGAGCACAGTAGACTGCTCAGGTATATAATTGCATACAGTGACATATACAATGAAAAAAGAACAAACAAGAACATAGTTTAGATTTTCTTTAAAACCTTTCTATAAATTTCATCAATATGTACCATTACTTCTTTAGTGAAACCACTGGAAGAGGAATAACTAAAGAAATCCAACCTTCAATGTGTTTTATTTTGGTGTTATTTTTATTTTTTGCTAATGTAACTGGACGGGGAAGGAGGGGTGGGAAAGGAACTAAGATAAGGTGCACGTTCAGCAGAAGAACCTGTGGGAGCTGAAAGACCATGAGGTTTTCCTCTTTTCCCCTTTCATGCTGCAAGCCCACAAACAGTTTTGTTTGTCGTTTGAGGGGATGTGGCATCTAAACAATGCATTCATCCAATTCTTGACCAAGTGGGCTCAGACAAGGTATTTTATCCATAGGAGGCAAATCATGACAGACTGATGGTCTCTCCAGGAGCTGTGGCTGTAGTACAGCAGTCACTCACTTTCAGTGTGACTCAAGGTACAGAAGGTACAAAAGCTCGGGGTTATCATTAACCACATCTAGGAAAGCTTTGACATCTAAGTCATTTTTGTATCTTTGTAMATCTTACTAAGCTCCTTCTGTTGCTAAGGTGCTGTTGAAAATCCCATTCTTTGTGCTGTGCACAACACAAAAAGAATTTATCAGGAAGAGAATGTTCCAAACCCCAAACCTTTCTGCTTATTTCCACATTATCTTTAGAGACCACTGAGTTTTATAACACAGATAACAAGAAACCTCYRGAAAATAACACTCCAGCAGAGAGAAGCCATTATTTCTCCTGTAGTACAGTAACACATAACCTGGATAATTAATTTAGAACAAGCAAGCATAGAACACCACCAGAGATCTGTCTTCTGATTTTATTCTCATGTTACACTCTGAAATATTTAAAAATGTAGCAATAGAAATAACATAAGAGTGCAGGCTGTTTATGGTATTGTTTATGGTATTGCAATAAAGAAGATGAAGGAGGGAGGAAAGAGCATTAAAGTCCCTCATTTAAAAAAGACCTAAAATCCCCATGTAGATATTTTGTTTTGTGCAAGACAGAACTACTAATTATAGCATTTCTGGTGGCATAATCTGAAAAGTTTCTGATGAGTGTCTCTTCAGCATTTGAGGATCATGGAGGACTGAATTTTAATAAATCATTTGTTGTTTTAAAACCAGCTTTTTCAGTAGTGTACCCTCTTCTTGGGATAGCCCAGGTTTATTTTAGGCATGATTTCCTTTGGTATGCAAATGCACAAAAAAACTGGCTTTACAAAAAAAACCAACATAACAAACAAACAGACAAAAAACCAAAAAAAGACCTCCATCCTTGACTAAGTCCATATTCAAACAATCAAACACAACCCTTCCCCTCTCCATTTGGTTACCTCATTGGAATCAATTCCGTTATTGACAGACCACGTGGTTTGGAAATATTCAAGCATCCTTTGCTTTAGCTGCTGTGGCAGGTGATGGACCCGTATGAAGTCCTTCAAATCCTTGGTTCTTGTGTGATAAAGGGACCATCTGGAGTACATCCTCTGAATTATGGCAGTCACRTTGCCAAACACCAAGGCATGCATCAGAGCTAGGGAGCAGAGAAATTGCATGCAATGCAGAGTGATTTGATCATCAATAAACCTTAACACAGAAAATTAACATCTTCACAGAGAGAAAACTTCCTGATTGAGAGATATCAGAGAATTTTTGAACATAAAGCTCCTTGAGTTAATACAGAGGGGCATTAATATGATTCTTCATTTCTGGTTTTGAGACCCTATCAGTCACAGTCATGGCACAGGGTAGAACAATAAATTATTCTGTCTAGTCAGGGTACCTAAAAAATGAATGCCCAAATCAAATTAAGTCCATAGTCTAAGAGAAAARCAAAACAGAMYACAGAATYRTAGAAAGGTTTGGGTTGGAAGGAACCTAAAATACCATCTAATTCCAGTCAACCTGCTGTGGACAGAGACATCTTTCACTAGAGTGGGTTACTCAAGGCCCCATCCAACCTGGMSTCAAACATTTCCAGGGACRGGGCATCCAGAGCTTTCCTGAGCAACCTGTGCTGGGCYTCACCATCCTTACAGTAAAGAATTTCTTCCCARTATCTACTCTAAATCTGTCTTCTTTCAGTTTGAGCCRTTCCCACTTGTCCTGTCACTACAGGCCTTCGTAAAAAGTCTCTCTCCGTCTTCCTTGCAGGCACCCTACGCGTACAGGAAGGAACACATGTAGGCTGGTATGCTCAGGAAATWATGAGATACTAATAATCAAATGTAGACTCAAATAGTCAGCTAGAAACTACATAAAATTTAATAGATTTCAGAAACCTTATATAAATACAAACAACTACTGATGGAGACCATTTTTAGAGAAACACGGCTGCAAATAACATTTAAAGATGTATTGTATTCTGCAGGAGATATTTTTTAAAAAGTCGGAAAAAAAACCATTGTAAGGTAGAAGTTCAGGTCCAAAGAAACATTCAAATAGACAATTTGATTTCTTATGTTGCTTGACAGGGTCAAATATGGTTAAAATTTGTTATCAGAAAGTTCTGGGATCCTGGAGTTTGTTTGCAATTAGTTACTAGCTTGGGAAAAAAACACCAGAAGCAAAATTGAAGAAATATTCACAGATATAAGTCATCTGGGTTTGTGTTTATTATGTGTTTATTATGTGTTTATTATGTGTTTATTATATGTTGATTATGAATGTGCTTATTATGGGTTGGAAAAAAACAATGCTAAATTGTCTGTAGTGTGATATTGATCTGATGTGTAGGATATATACACGTACAATTTTTTATTTGAAAAAAACTACTAAAGAGCTTGATTATTTCTGCAAAGGTACAGTTGTATTTATGGTGCTYGAAGGAAAGCACACAGACTCAGAGTGACAAAGGAATTGGTTTATAAACAAGAAAAACAAGCTGTTGACCTTGTATGACAGTTTACAGAAGTACAATGTGAGTGAGAAGGGAAAAGGGGAAACAGGAGGAGGAAAGGATGCACTTTTAAATGGTATAAAGAGACATAAAGTTTGGAGTGTTAGAAATTTTTTACAGGCTGAGTAAAACACAAAGGAGCTGGTAACAATACCTATGTTCTTACTGTGAAGGGAGTGCAGAAAATCAGATAAAGAACTGCMGTGTAGAAATAGCAGAAAGAAAAGGATTGTGTATGTAGTAAGAATAGTAAGCCTAACTGGAAATTCATTTCTAAAAATAATCAGCTCTATCAACTAGGTGTCGTTCACGATGGGGCAATGAATTGCTAAGCCATTAATGTCAGAAGCTGAAGCAACAGAATGTAAGGGATTTGTGCAATACTAGATATAGGATATTATACTAGAATTGTGACAGCTAGGGCTGAAACAATTCAGCCAGAGACATTATTTACAATTAATAGGTTAAAGAAATAGCATAGCCTCTTTAAGRATGCAATGATCAATTTAAAAGCAGGGAGGGATAAAGCATTAGGTGGTGTATGAAGGTGTTTGTAAAAATCACGGTGTGCAAATCTCTCATCAGACTCCCAGGTTAGGAGCTGGACAGTGCTGAGATCTCAGTGTTACAGACACAAATATCATCTAGAATTTTATTATTCYGGTAGAATCTGTCTTTGCCTATATACATTGGAAGGCAACTGCTTCTCATAATGACAAGCTATTCTTGGCTCTGACAGGCATTAGAATTCTGCATCAATAATCATACACTTATCCTACTTTCTGTAAGGAACCCCTTATGCCTCTCTCCAAACCCAAGTAGGACAAGTTCAAAACTTCTASGAACTGTGTTTCATAAAGTGGTTTTCATTTTAATGGATATTCTAAATCACATTTTAGGTGCTTAGGGAACAGAGGAACACCTCTGATCCCAGATAGGATTGGAGCTGCTAGAATCTCTTAAATATAAAAGTACACATTATTTGCTGAACGAACAAGGAGAGTACAAGGCAGAATGTGGTATGACTGMCTGCTGGAGGGCAGATCTGATTAATATTGCACAGATGCTGGGCATGCTGGGAATTCTGGTTACATTTTAATAGGTAAATTTTCTTTCCAACTTTAAGAAGACATACTCTATAGAACAAGATMTTTTATATTAAAAATATGACTTAATGAAAATTTAAATTTCACATTCATGTAAAAAAATCAATATGAAGAGGACTGTAAATATTAAAAAGATGTGCTATAAGTATTTATTTGTAAACACCTTTTTTTTCTTCAACTTTTTCAAGGCTTAAGTAAATTAACTTCATTTTTTGTTTGCAGTGTCATTCATTAAGTAGGTACAGAAAAACAACTGATGAATGAATTCACCCTCATCCATTACATCCAAAATTTCATAAACTAATGGCTTGGTCAAAAAGTCTGAAAAATTTATACTAATTTTCCTCAGAACATCACTTTCCACTGGGGAATTTTAATMTTAAATGTCAGCCAAAACTAAACATACAGATTACATACATACACTAAAACAGGTTTTAAGAAATGAAGAGGTATCAAGTTCCTAAGCACACAGATTAGCACTTTATTTCCAACTGAGTTTTCTAAGGCATGCTCAACAATCTTCACAGTATCCTTCTAATTTCTACAACTCCTTGCTGTGCTGATTTTCCTAAATAGTATCTGAAATACAGTTCCTCAAGAAAATACCTGCAGATCAGCCTGCTATGTTTTTTACACCTGTTCATGGTACCCTGGTAGGTGTAAATCCATTCTCCTACCTGCTTACCTATAAGCAACTTTGAATTTCAGTCATCAGCTTCCTCTTACTCCATTCAGTTGACTAGTTCTTCACAATTTATTCAATTTACATGCATATTACTTCTATCAATTAACAATACAAGAAATAAAAGAGAAATTATTATAASTGGACTAAATAAAATTCTATATGCCACTCTTTTTCATTTATGAGAGCTCTGCCATATTAAAGTGAATTAAATATTCATCATTGCCTTACACRGGAAATCTCTTGATTTCTTGATAGAAATGAAAACTCCTTCCTTCTTTCCAACAGATTTATATAGTCAAAGCCCCAAAGAACAGAGACCACAGTGTATTTTAAAACTAAAATTTTATGCAACCACCAAAAGCAATTCATGAACTGCTTGTGGTTTTGTGACACTGTCAAAAACAAAATTATACCACTTTTGGACAATTCATTACATTTTTTTCCTCTCATTTTCAGTGCTAAGGAAAATAAAAATAATTCATTTAACAAGCCTTATARCACTTAATGCTGCAAATATATAGTTTACAGATAATTTACCGTGTTCCTTGGCTTTCAAGTGTCAAATTTCCAATTTATTTTTGCCCAGRAAAATTTATCCTGCAAAGATGACAACCAGGGCTTTATGGCCTAGCCCTAGAGAAATACCTACTGGTATTTCCAGAGCAACTAAGCAAGCAGAAATAAAAAGTCAGGACAGAGTACTCTAGCAGTGACTTGCTTCTACCCTTCATGCTCAGTGTAAAATCTTTGGTCTGTATTACGCTCACACTGTGAAATAGCACAGTGGAATTTTTGTGGGAGGAGGATTAATATAAAGRCAGAGCTTCTGGTACTTTCTCTAAAGGTCTTGGCTTACAAATCTCTGCTGTTTGCACCCAGGTGCCTCAGCAGAAAGAAGGGGACTGGAAATGAACATGTGGCTTACTCCCACCGTACCTCTAGGTAGACAACATAAATGGACAAAGAGTCTCCCAAAAATATTGCATCCTGATTCTAGTCTGAATTAAATGATTATCAATGATAACTGAATTGCCTTTTTTTTTTTTTTTCTAATTGCCCTGTGGGCTGCCCACCTCCCTTCAACACCACTCCCAGTGGGGCTGCTGTGGGGTCAGAACTGGAGCTGCTGTGCACTTCATACCTGGCTGTCTGGGAAAGTGTCTGCCACAAGTGACCGAAATCCCCTACACATGACTGGGCTGCTCTCACTGTTAATAATGTGAACTTGCATTTCAGTGGGCRACACTGTCTTTCATCACCATTAATGAACAAAAGGTTAGAAATATGTCTGCTTAAGAGTTTATCCAGTGTAAACCAAAGTTATTTCCTTCTTTTGCCATTTAAAATTAAATTTATTAAGTTTTCCACTGTGTTTCTTTGGTTTTTTTTAAGAAACTTAGCAAAATTTCAGCTTTTATTTCCCTTTTTCCTACTCCTTGAAAATTTTTTATGWGAAAATTAATTGTACCTACCCCCAATCAGCATTGTGCAAATGGAGAAGATCTTTTCAGCGTCGGTATTGGCTGAAACGTTTCCAAAGCCAACACTGGTGAGGCTGCTGAGAGTGAAATACAGGGCAGCTATATAGGCACTTCTGATTGATGGGCCTCCCAGTGTATTATTCTCATAATAAGGAGATTCAATTCGTTTTCCTAGCTCATGAAGCCAACCTGCAAAACAAAGCATAAAAATAATTACTATTAAGTAATCATGACACTACCATGAAAACTACACATTATATTGAGAAAAAAAAAAAGCAGTTCTAAAGATTCACATAAACCTACTTAAAAGACAATATATTCTTCACACAATCCCAAGAATAAAAAGAACATTAAACTCTAGGAGTTAATGCAGCACATTAAGTATTGTGTCTCTGGGATATTTATTTTTACATAAATTTTTTTATGATAAGTACTGCATTTCTGCATTGAAATCAAGTGGTTCTGAATTGCATATTACAGGGCCCAATTAGATAATTTATAAAATCCATTAAGTCACTGAAAAGAAAAAAAATCATCATGTAATAGCACTGCARCAACAATGCAACATCATTCGATTCYTTCCATTAATTAATGCTTGGAAAGCCTTCTGACATTCTAAGACTAAATCATTATAATAGTAATTACATATTCTGAGCTTTTCACATGTTTCTTTTCACAGTAGAAAAGATATTCAAAGAACTAAACATAACTTTCAAACCAGAATTAATTTTCAAAACATGCTTCAGTAAGTATTTTCTAAATTGTTCATTTAATCTTTCCTTTCATTTTGATAAATGAGTCTATGTGTGCTAAAGAAAGTAGAATTAGCTACTGCCTCAGATATTTGAAAAAAAAAAAMCAACAAAACAASCCCAAAGCAACAATGCATGAAAAAATATGCAGCTGGAAAACACAACCTGAAAGAATTGCATAAACACAATGTTTCACAAAAAACAAGATGGGGGAAAAGGAAGAATAGAAAATCCACTTCTGTGGATTTTGCCTGTTAGACAGCTTGCTTGGGGGATTGGGAATCTTTCTTGGGTATACAGGGAGGACTGCCATAAGAAAATAATCCTGACTGACAGAGTTTTATTTTTAGGAATATTGTTTGGGGGTCCCCCCATTGTAAACTGGGACCTGACAGACTGAATCACCTCCTGGAGCTTATTCTCTCWCCACTTCAGTCAGCATCCATTTCAATGAATCCAAATATGAACTGGGGGAAAACTCATTGAACTGGGGGAAATCTCATTGCACAGAATATCTGCAAAAGTAGGGGGTAGATTTAAATTATCTGTCCCAGCACTTCCAATTAAGTTGGGAAAAATTTTGGTAGTAATTTAGCGCCAGGAACAATGGCTGCTCCCATGCTCAGCTCCCTGCTCTCTGGCATGATGCTGTGCAGAGAAAGCTCAGCCAGAAGGGCTCAGTAGTGGAAGAGGTTTGGCTGTGACCCTGCTGACCCACCCAGTGCAGGACAGGGAGCCCAATCAAAAGCATAAATGAAAACAATCTTCATTGTCACACAATGGTAGTATTGAGTAGGCTGTTTTACCTTGCCAACAGACAAGAAAGCATATGAAAATCTCCTTTATTTTGCCTGGRTAGAAAGCATTAATCATGTGGGGCCATTTTATATTTGTGGGTCACAATTGTTTAAAATTAAAATAAAGCAAAATATGGGGGGAAAAAAAAGAACCCTGGTTGAGTCAATACCAGTCCTCTGTGCACTCYTTTTTTTCTGAGATTACACAGCATTTCCCCAACAGCAGCATAGTCCTTTGAATGGCAGATTTAATTCCTAAGTTTCTATAGCAGGGAATGTAATCACAAACATTAAAGAACATAGATTTAAAACCTRAGAAAATMTSTGTCAGAGAGGAGACAGAGTTTAAWAAAGTCCATCTAAACCTARTGTAAARTAATACAATCATGAAGTTCAAGATCAGCTCGAGATAGTTTTGGGTCTGAAACTGAAACAAATAAGTTATTTCAAAGTGCTGTAATTGATATGCCTTTTAGGAGAAAATCTCCTTCCTTCTGAAAGCCACTGGTTCTCAGCCTGTGTATTTCCATTTTCTGACTTTTCATGCTTTTCCAGTGCAATCTAGGAAAGGTGGGTGACTGCATTCTTTAACTGATAGATAGATAGATGTGAACGGGTTTCTCCTTCACAGCTCAATTTATGTGCAAGGTTTTCATCCAACCCTGCTGAAACATCATTGTTCCYAAAGGACTCTTTACTTCTAGTAAAAGTAAGGAAAAAAAAAAGTCTATATTGTGTCAATCAGTAGAAGTCTCTATAATATTTCTGCAATAATTCTACCACCAAAATACCAATGTTTTTACAGTTTATAATAAATTTAGAATTTCTAACAAACACTTCTGGCCAAGACACGAATATTTGAGTTTAGTATTCAGTGTCTAGTTCTGTGATACCACTCCTCAAACAAATCATCTCCTCAGTAGTATTTATGGCTTATCCCTGAGTTACACCAGTAGCACTTAGCAATGATTAGCAGTTAGCAATGATTAGCAGTTAGCAATTCTTAACAACTGCAAAAATAATGCCCACAACATAAAGAAAGCTATTAGGTAAATTTATTTAGAGATTTTTACTTGGAAGAGAGAAGGTATATCTGAAAGGCAAAACCCCAAAAATATATTCCTCTGACTTGTAGATAATAACATGTTTACAGCTTCTCATTTCTATTTTGGCTGGCAGAGATTATCCTAATCAGGAACTTTTGAAAAAATKATATAAAATTATGTTTGAGCCAGAGTAGATAAAATGCTGTAATATCTTCCAGATCAACTATGCTTCTCATATTTTGCTGATAGCTCTGCAAACTTTTTTTTTTACATTTCAGGATAGAGGCAAGATACTGTTGGGTATAAATACTTYCATTTGCCAATGGAAATAGTCATGAGGTAGCATCATTGACTAATGCCTTTTCCTTTTCAGTTTCTGTAGGTAACAGCTCTCAGCASATTCTCTGGCAAACTTGAGTAATTAATTTCTGCCCTCAGGGAAGAAGAGAAAAATAAACATACCTTGTAGCCAGAGGGAGCTTCCTAGAATTTAGCATTATGAACCTCTTCTGGTTCAGAATTAGCATTGTCTAGGTAAAGCTCTCTGTCTTTGAAAACATTTTAAAGCACCAATTAGCATAATTAAGAGGAAGGCCTTTCAAAGGGAAAAAGAGCACTTAAATAATCAAGTCCCATTGGAAAAGTCAATAGGAATTGGATATCTAGCTCCATTAGACTACTTTGAAAATTGCTGTAAAACTCTGTATTGAGTTTCATTTACTTATATCTGGGAAGCTCTCAAGTATCAGCAGAAGCCTAAAAAAGCATTTAAACCTCCATAGATGACATAGTTTTTAACTGGATGTAAACCACATTATTTCATTTACTAGATATCCATGAAATCAGCCCTTCCCCTGGCTCGGTGCTTTCTCTGCACTGAGTAGGTACAACGCTCCCTATAATTTGCAGCTTCATTCTACACCACTACTTAGACTTTTCTGATATGYCAGACACTTAACACACCAAAATACTGTCTGGTGCTTCAAAAATATAGCAAATAGTTGCATTTTCTAATGCATTAATTAACCATAGCCCTTATTCTAAAAATAAGACTACTTTTCTTTTCCAATTATAAAATAGACCAAAACTCTCTGGTTTATTCTGCTCTACAGTCTCAGAAAGAATAAAGAGTTATGGATAAGGAGTGCTTCTTAGAGCATCTCTGAATGTCTAAAAGAAATGGCAGGGATGATGCTAAAAGAGAAAAGTATGAGACAAAGGCCAAGCTATGATTCCATATCAAATTTGGAGACTTCAAGCATTCCTAGGGGAAATGTGAAGACAGAAAAGCCCATCTGCTCTCACATAAACTATGGTTTTTTTCAATGCTTAAAGAGTATCTAAACCTCATGCAGGGTCAGACCATACTTGGATCTTCCATGCTAGCAAAGAGAGAGAGTAAGCAGCACTCTGCTGATAGCAGAGAAAGAGAATATGTAGAAATGGTGGAGTAAACTAGAKTACACTGTGGGTTATGTTTAAGGACTATGTTTGAGGCTGAATTTTGTTTTTCTGGCTGAGATGAAAAGAAATAATAGTAGAAAAATGTCCTGAACTGGAGCACAGGCAGCCTTCTAATGTAAATAGATTATAACTTTCAACACAGAAGTTGCTGTCTTATGACTATTAATGTGGGTTGCAGTGAACAGTTTAGGGTCATTAAGGAGAAGATAAAAACTATGCAAGAGGAATGAAATCCTTCATCACCTGAATGCATTTTTAAATTAAAATCACCGWGYAKCCTGAGAGCTGTGTTGSTTCCCACTGCAGCAGTCCCTGATCWTTGCTGATAGCTCCTCATTTCAGATCTAGAGCCAGGCAGCAGGAGCTGTAGCTTGCACARCAAAGCACACCACCCTTTCTTACACAACTGCACCCTCTGATCTGCAAATAAACATCTCATATTTCCATTTTAAATGGGGGAAAAACGTTCCAAGTTTCTATTGATCTTAATGAAACCAAGATTTTCAGTTTTTCCTGTCTCTCTTTCTCTGTATTAATCTCCACAAAATAAGCCTTAAGGCAGAACAGTTGCTAAGAGAGAGCAAGTAGGTGAATTTCCTTCTTTCCAGGTAAAAGCACCTGTTATTACTGTTTCTGTGATTTTAAATGTACAAATTGCTTCCCTCAGCTGTCTGTGTGGCTTCTACAGAATGTATCATAGCTAAAGTGCCTTTGAGAAGGAGAGGCCAGAGCTAATATTGTATTTAAGATTTTTTATAACAGCATAGTGAATGCATTTTACCATATCAAACCCTGAATATCATTCATTAGACATTAAAACATTRGCTCCTCTTTTGAGATTGCTTCCAAAGAATTTTGTACAGTTCTCTCTAGATGTTGCTGACTGATATAATACATTCAGAATCTAGAGGTGTATAAGATTAAATCCTTTTACTTCTAGTGTGTATGACTGCRTTATTGAATAATCATTGCCTCTTTTCTCGCAGTGATTACTCATTTAAGGTATTCAGGTTCTTTACAGCAGCTTCAAAGCCTTTTTTATTCCTGTCTAGCCAAACAGTTTTTGACATGTGCAATTTTTTTCCTGCTAAAGCATTTGTAGTTTYCCCCCAGACTATTAATAGACTAAA